CTGTTGATAGTTTGCTGTGCAGAAGCTCTTTAATTAGATTCCATTTGCCAATTTTTGCTTTTGTTGCAATTGCTTTGGTGTCTTTATCATGAAATCTTTGCCCATTCTTATGTCCAGAATGGTATTGTCTATGTTGTCTTCCAAAGTTTTTATAGTTTTGGGTTTTACATTTAAGTCTTTAATCCATCTTGAGTTAATTTTTGTATGTGGTATAAAGAAGGGATCTAGTTTTAATCTTTGACATATGGCTAGCCAGCTATCCCAGCACCATTTATTTAATATTTGTATATGGTGTAAGGAATGGATTTAGCTTCAGTCTTCTGCATATGGCTAGCCACTTATCCCAGCACCATTTATTGAATAGAGAATCCTTTCCCCATTGCTTGTTTTTGTCAGTTTTATTGAAGACCAGATGGTTGTAGGTGTGCAGACTTATTTCTGGGTTCTCTATTCTGTTCCATTGGTCTATGTGTTTGCTTTTGTGCCATTACCATGCTGTTTGGGTTACTATATCCCTGTAGTATAGTTTGAAGTCAGGCAACATGATGCCTCTAGCTTTGTTCTTTTTGCTTAGGGTTGCTGTGGATATTCAGGCTCTTTTTTGGTTCAGAATGAATTTTAAAAATAAGTGGGTGTTGAACAATGAGAACACATGGACACAGGGAGGGAAACATCACACACCGGGGCCTGGGAAGTCGGGGGTTAGGAGAGGAATAGCAGGGGGTAAGGGGACTGGGGAGGGATAGCATTAGGAGAAATATCTAATGTAGGTGACGGGGTGATGGATGCAGCAAACCACCACCATGGCACGTGTATACCTATGTAACAAACCTGCAAACTCTGCACATGTACCCCAGAACTTAAAGTATAATAAATAAATTTTTTAAAAAAAATTTTTTTCTAGTTTACTGAAAAATGTTGATGATAGTTTAGTAGGAATAGCATTGAATCTGTAAAGTGCTTTGGGCAGTTTGGCCATTTTAACAATATTGATCCTTCTTATCCATGAGTGTGGAATGTTTTTCCATTTGTTTGTGTCATCTGATTTCTTTGAGCAGTGTTTTGTAGTTGTCCTTGTAGAGAGCTTTCACCTCCCTGGTTAGTCGTATTTCTAGGCATGTTATTTTTTGTGTGTGGCAATTGTGAATGGGAGTTTGCTCCTGATTTGTCTCTCAGCTTGACTGTTGTTAGTGTATAGAAATGTTAGTGACGTTTGCACATGAATTTTGTATCCTGAGGCTTTGCTGAATTTATCAGCTGTAGGAGATTTTGGGCCAAGACTATGGGCTTTTCTAGATATAGATCATGTTGTCTGAAAACAGGGATAGTTTGGCTTTCTCGCTTCCTTTTTGGATGCAATTTATTTCTTTTTCTTGCCTGATTGCCCAGGCCCACACTTCCAATACTATGTTGAATAGGAGTGGTGAGAGAAGGCTTTCTTGTCTTGTGCCAGTTTTCAAGAGGAATGCTTCCAGCTTTTGCCCTTTCAGTATGACGTTGGCTGTGGGCTTGTTATAGATGGCTCTTATTATTTTGAGGTATGTTCGTTTAATACATAGTTTATTGAGAGTTTTTAACATGAAGTGGTGTTTAATTTTATTGTAAGCCTTTTCCGCATATATTGAGATAATCATGCGTTTTTTGTCTTTAGTTCTGTTTATGTGATGAATCACATTTCTTGATTTGCATATGTTGAACATTGCTATCTTGCATCCCAGGGATAATGCCTACTTGATCATGGTGGATAAACTTTTTGATGTGCTACTGGGTTTGGTTTACCAGTATTTTGTTGAGGATTTTTGCATTAATGTTCATCAAAAATATTGGCCTAAAGTTTTCTTTTTTTGTTGTGTCTCTGCCAAGTTTTGGTATCAGGATAATGCTGGCCTCATAGAATGAGTTAGGGATGAGTCCCTCCTGCTCAGTTTTTTTAGACTAGCTCCTCAAGGAATGCACCAGCTCTTCTTTGTACATCTGGTAGAATACAGCTATGAATCTGTCTGGTCCTGTGCTTTTCTTGGTTGGCAGGCTATTTATGACCAATTAATTTCAGACCTCCTTATCAGTCTGTTCAGGATTTCAGTTTCTTCCTAGTTCAGTCTTGGGAGGGTGTATATGTCTAGGAATTTATCTATTTCTTCTAGATTTTTTTAGTTTATGACCATAGATGTGTTCATAATATTCTCTGACTGTTAATTGTATTCCTGTGAGGTCAGTGGTAATACCCCTCTTGCTGTTTCTGATTGTGTTTATTTAAATCTTCTCTCTATTCTTCTTTATTAACATAGCTAGTGATCTATTTGTTTTATTAACTTATTGTTCTGTTGAATGGTTTTTCACATCCCAATCTCCTTCAGTTCAGCTCTGATTTTGGTTATTTCTTGTCTTGAAGGCAGATGATTTCTTATGGAGGTGAATATTTGCTTACTTAAAGCCCAGCTTCTAGGGATCTCATTTCTACATGTCTGTCCCAAAGAAATAAAAGACTTACCTTTAACTGAAAAATCTGGGCATGCATCTTTATGGCAACATTATTCATAATTACTCAAAACTGGAAGCAACACAAATGGGGCCAAGCCTGGAGGCTTTATCTGACCGTTACAATCCACTAACCTCCAGTCGTGCCAAAGACCCTCTGTTACTCTCACCTCTGCGTCAAGGACATTGCACTGTGCAATGGAGACCACCAACTGCCCCACAGAGGCAGAGATTCAGAAGACAGGCAGAACACGCATTGTCACTCCCAGAAGGTCAGTTGTTTATAAATATGAAACCAAACTATTAAATAACAACAGCTGTAGGGCTGATCTTAACCAATAACATAACAAAAAATATCCCCAGTTATTCTGAGCAAGGTCTGCACTGAGTCAGCACTAGAACTCTGATGCAATCACACTAGAAAATACTGGATAAACTTTCCTCCTAAAACTTTAAGGAAGCTGAGAAACAGAGTCACATCACATACTTCAACAGAGTACAATTCAGCAAACTCAGGCTACATCACACATTGAAAAACCAAATTTTGTATGCAACTCCTTTCTGTAAAACAAGTTTTTTTTACTACAATTAAAAAATAGAAGTTTCCAATTCAATTTTGCAACTAAAAAGTAATAATAATGTGGTGTCTTTATGTTAAACTTTGGAAAAAGCCAAGGAATTTGCCTGCTTGGGTGAATGAATTCTGCAGGACCTTAAGGCTGCTCGCCACGTAAACCAAGACTTCTGAGGCAAGTGGGGCTCCCTCTGGCGGCTGCTCCAAATAGCTGCTCCTGCAGGACTCCAAGCTTCACCCTCTCAAACCAACAGAAGCCAGCAGGAGGCTGCATTCGGTGTGGCAAATAACCTAGCTAAGCACTGTGGACAGAGAGAGTTGCAAGAAAAATGATGGCATAAAGTAGCTGATCGCTAACATTTCACTGAGAATAGACCCCTTGCAGGGACTGAGACAACACAACGTCTCCCATAGATCTGGTGGTCAGAGAGGATAGATAAGAATCCCTAGAGCCCTGTAAGAAGCCACACCAGCACATCCCCGTGTGGGTATCCATGGCCTGGCAGCCTGCAGAATTCCGGGACCAGAGACTTCCTCATCCTGTTGGAATGCCCAGGCATCTCCACCTCAAATGTCCTCATCTTCCCGGAACCCCTCTTTTTCTCTTAACATTCCTCTAAATAAAATTCCCTATCTGCTACAACATAGAAAGAGAGGAGGAACAAGAAAACTAGTTACCAACTAATAAGAAGGCCCAGGGGCCGCTCGACGTTTAATCTTCCCAAGGGATGAGAATGCGCCTCGTGCTGCTCAGCACCTGAAATGCAGCCCTGGCTAATGGCTCCGTTTCACTGGACGTACTCCCGGGATCATAGATGGCAGCTGGGGAGGGCAGTGAGGGTGGAAATGTCTCACTAGGCTGAATTGAAGTGAGGTCTACCCATTGCCTTCTTTGCACATGTTTAAGTATTCAAAGAATCTAGTAATTTACCCATAAGAGATAATCAAACAAGAGAACAAAGGTGTATGTGCAAAGATTTGGATCTTAGCTTTATTTGAAATAATGGAAGGTTGGAAGTCAATTCACGTCCATCAATGTGGGGCTGGCCACCTGCCAGTGGGTTACATCCCTGCAGGGACATGACCCACCCATGGAGAGAATGATGGTCATTGATGGCATTGGGACAGCAAGAACTCCATGAAGAAAGCTGCCCCGCAAAATGAGATGCAATTGACATTGATGTGTCTGTACTTGTGCAAAGAGAGATTTGGGAAAGGAAGTTTACTGAAATGTTAACAATACATTACAAGTTTTGAAGTGACTTTAATTTCTTTTTTTTTTTTTTTTTTTTTTTTTTTCAATTTTCCATCAGGCTTGAATTTTCTCCATAGACATGCATCATCTATGTCAGCAGTCCCCAACCTTTTTGGCACCAGGGACCAGTTTCGTGAAAGGCAACTTTTCCACAGATCAGGAGTGTGAGGGACGGTTTAGGATGGTTCAAGCACATTATGTTTATCTAGATTCTCATAAGGAGCATGCTAGATCCCTTGCATGCCGAGGTCACAGGAGGGTTTGTGTTCCTATGAGAATCTAATGCAGTTACTCGTCTGACGGGAGGTGAAGCTTAGCCTCACTCACCTGCCCCGACACTCACCTCCTGCTGCACAGCCCTGTTCCTAACAGGCCACAGACCCAAACCAGCCCATCCCCTGGGCGTTGGGACCTCTGATTTGTGTAATTGGAAATAAAGTTGTTTGCATTACTCTAAAATAAAAGGAAGTAGCCTTGTTCTAAGGTATTCTAGAAGTGCCATAGTAGGGAAAAGTTCTGCTGAAAACTGTAGGGATGTTTAGTCATTTTAGGGAAACACAAGAAACTGGATGAATTCGAGTTTTTATCTATCTTCCTTCAAGACAGCTACTAGTGATCTGCAGAAAGATGATTGGGAAATAAATCAGGAAAACTGAGCCCAAAGTGAGGTGCAAAGGTTCTAAAAGGATCAGTGGTCAATGATGTCATGGCATGTATTAGCTGAATCTGTGGTGTGAGTTCTAAAATTATACTGAGATATTGGGGAAAAACAAAGGCTCAGCTATGCTTTCATCAGATTTCAGTTCCTTTGACAGTTCCTTGGGTGGTCACTACTCCTACTGTGATGAGCCACCACTGACCTGGGCCCTCTGCCCTGTTCTTGTCACAGTTACAAGGTGAGCTTTCTTTAAAAGATTATTTGACTAGCAATTGGCCTTGTCCATTGGCTTGTGAGCTTCATGAACACATGCATCATTTCTTTTTCTGAGACAGAGTCTCACTCTGTCGGCCAGGCTGCAGTGTGGTGGTGCAATCTTGGCTCACTGCAACCTCGGCCTCCCAGGTTCAGGTAATCCATCCACCTCAGCCTCCTGAATAGCTGGGACTACAGGTGAGGGCCACCATGCCTGGCTGATTTTTGTATTTGTTGTAGAGATAGCATTTCATCAAATGAGCCACCTGTCTTGGCCTCCCATAATGCTGAGATTACAGGCATGGGCCACCATGCCTAGCTATTTTTATTTTTCTTTAATTTTTGTTCATAATTTAATCCTTGGTGACTGACACATACTGGGGTCTCAAAACAAGTTTGAGTGAATTTATAAAAGCAGTATGATGTGACTTTTAAAAATAATTGTAATAGCTTGGTGCAGTGGCTCAGATCAGCACTTTGGGAGGACAAGGGAGGCAGATCACAACATCAGGAGATTGAGACCATTCTGGCCAACATGGTGAAACTTCATCTCTACTAAAAATACAAAGATTAGCTGAGCATGGTGGTGGGTGCCTGTGGTCCTAGCTACTCAGGAAACTGAGGAAAGAGAATCACTTGAACCAGGCAGGTGGAGGTTGCAATAAGCCAAGATCATGCCACTGCACTCCAGTCTGGCAACAGAGTGAGATGTCATCTCAAAAAAAATAATTATTATTATAATTATAACACTTTGACAATGGAAACACAAATGACCTTAGTGATCTGAAAGTTGCATTTTGTACTTTTTGCTTTGATTGCATATTTTGAAACAATAGATGCCTCACAATTTTTCCTTGACTGTTATTTCATTTTCTATTCCTCAAAGAGGCTATAGACACTGGAGGAAACACCAGAGCCCACACAGGGGTGGTTCATTGTGAGAAAAGGTAAGACAAGTAAGTCCCTCTATTTGAAAGCCTGAGACGTTTTTCAGCAGGCATATTGCATGCATGACCAAACAGATTAATGTGGTTCTAACTGGTAAACCATTAATTAGCCATAGAATATATTCAAGGTCATTCAGAAAGATACACAAGCAAATCCACAAAAGGGGATTATAAACCCACTGTGTTCAGCTATTCCTGTATTGCTATAATGAAATACCTGAAGCTGGGTAATTTATAAAGAAAAGAGGTTTAATTGGCTTATGGTTCTGCAGGCTTCAGAAAGTGTGGTGCCAGCATCTGCTGGGTTCTGGTGAGGGACTCAGAAACCTTACAATCATAGCAGAAGGCAAAGGGGGAGTAGACATCTCACATAATGAGAGCAGGAGCAAGAGAGAGAGCAGGTAGGGGGAGGTGTCACACACTTTTAAGCAGCCAGATCTCATGATAACTCACTCACTCTCATGAGGACAGAGCCAAACCATTCATGAGAAACATCAAACACCTTCCACCAAACTCCAGACTGGGGATTACATCTCAACATAAGATTTGGAGGGACTATCTAAACTATATCGTTCTGCCCCTGCCCTCCCAAATCTCAGGTCCTTCTCATATTGTAAAATAATCTCATGTCCTTCTCACATTGCAAAATAATCTCTTCTCTATAGTCCCCCAAAGTCTTAACTTGTTCAAGCTTTAACTCAAAAGTTCCAAGTCCAAATGAATTCCTTCCACCTGTGAGCCTATAAAATCACAAGAAGTTACTTACTTCTGAGATACAATGGGAATACAAGAATTGGGTAAATATTCCTGTTCTAAAAGGTAGAAACCAGCCAAAAGAAAAGGGCTACAGGCCCCACACAAGCCTAAAACCCAGTAGGACAGTTATTAAATATTAAAGCTCCAAAATAATCTCATTCAACTCCATGTCCCACATCCAGTGCACACAGGTGCAAGAGATGGTCTCCCAAGGCTTTGAGTAGCTCCATCCCTGTGTCTTTGCAGGACACAGCCCCTCAGTTGCTCTCACAAGCTGGAGTTGAGTGCCTGTAGCTTTTCCAGGTCCAGGGTGCAAGCTGCCGATCGATCTCTCATACTGTGGTCTGGAGTACAGATCCCCTTTCCCACAGCTTCATTAGACAGTGCCCTAGTGGGGACTCTGTGTGGGATCTCCAACCACACATTTCCCCTTGACCCTTCCCTAGTAAAATCTCTCTGTGAGGGCTCCACCCCTGCAGCAGACTTCTGCCAGGGCACCCAGACTTTGCCATACCTCCATTGAAATCTAAGAGGAGGCTACCAAGCCTTCTTCACTGTTGCATTCTATGTGCCTTCAGGCTTAACACCACATAGACGCATGATAGCTTATGGCTTGTGCCCTTTGTAACAGCAGCCAGAGCAGCCAGGATGTGGGGACCAGTGTCCCAAGGCTGTGCAGAGCATTGGGGTCCTGGGCTTGGCCCACAGAACAATTCTTTCCTCCTAGGCCTCTGGGCCTATGATAGGTGGGGCTGTCTAGAAGAACTCTGAAATGCCTTTGAGGCCTTTTCCCCATTGTCTTGGCTGTCAGCACCTTACTCCCTTTTAGTCATGCAAATCTTTCTAGCAAGTAGTTGCTCCACAGCCTCTCCTGATAATGATTTTTATTCCTCTCCTGATAATGCTTTTTCTTTCTCTGGCATGTGGCCAAGCTGCAAATTTTCCAAACTTTTACACTCTGTTTCCCCTTTAAATATAACTTGCAATTTTAAGTCATTTCTTTGCTCCCACGTCTGACCATAGGCTGTTAGAAGCAGCCAGGTTAGAAGCAGTCAGGTCACATGTTGAACACTTTATTGCTTAGAAATTTCTTCCTCCAGATACCCCAAGTCATTACTCTTAAGTTCAAACTTCCACAAATCCCTAGGGCATGAACACGATATAGCCAAGTTGTTATCACTATCAGCATTTTGGTCACAATCATGGAACCAGATTCTAAGAAGTTCCAAACTTCACCTCATCTTTCTTTCTTCTTCTGTGCCCTCCCAACTCCTCCATCCTCTGTCCATTAATGAATTCCAAAGTTGCTTCCACATTTTCAGGTATCTTCATAGCAACATCTCACTCCTTGGTACCAATTTTCTGTGTTAGTCCATTCTTATATTGCTATAAAGAAGCACCTGAAGCTAGGTAATTTATAGAGAAAAGAGGTTTAATTGGCTCACGATTCTGTAGTCTGTACAGGAAGCATGGTGTTCACATCTGCTTGGCTTCTGGAGAAGCCCCAAGAAGCTTCTAATCATGTGGAAGGCAAAGTGTGAGCACAGGTCTCACATGGCCAGAGCAGGAGCAAAAGAGAGGATGAGAGGGAGGTGTCACATGCTTCTAAACAACCAGCTCTCACAAAAACTCACTTATGCTGGGAGGACAGTACCAAGCCCTTCATGAGGAATCCACTCCCATGACTCAAACACGTCCCACAAGGCCCTACGTCCAACACTGAGGATTACATCTCAACATGAGATTTGGAGGGGACGTCCAAACTATATCACCCAGAAACGGGCCGACTTCACGGTTTTGCAGTATCTGAGATGATGTATGCACTGCTCAGCATCATAGAGGTTTCTAAAACCAAGGGTCGATGGGAGAGATATATTGATCCCAGCTTTGAGTATGAAGAGGAAAAAAAAGAAGCAGAGTTTATTTTTTTTTCCCATTTATTTATTTTATTGCATTTTACATTTTGGGGTACATGTGAAGAACATGCAAAATTGTTGCATAGGTACACACATGGCAGTGTGATTTGCTGCCTTCCTCCCCATCACCTACATCTGGCATTTCTCCCCTTGCTATCTCTCCCCAGCTTCCCACCCCCCACCCTCCCTCCCCTATTTCCCCCCAACTGACCCCAGTGTGTAGTGCTCCCCTCCCTGTGTCCATGTGTTCTCATTGTTCAACACCCGCCTATGAGTGAGAACATGCGGTGTTTGATCTTCTGCTCTTCTGTCAGTTTGCTGAGAATGATGGTTTCCAGGTTCATCCATGTCCCTACAAAGGACCCAAACTCATCGTTTCTGACGGCTGCATAATATTCCATGGTGTATATGTGCCACATTTTCCCTATCCAGTCTATCGTCGATGGGCATTTGGGTTGGTTCCAGGTCTTTGCTATTGTAAACAGTGCTGCAATGAACATTCGTGTACACGTGTCCTTATAGTAGAACGATTTGTAATCCTTTGGATATATACCCAGTAATGGGATTGCTGGGTCAAATGGAATTTCTATTTCTAGGTCCTTGAGGAATCGCCACACTGTCTTCCACAATGGTTGCACTAATTTACACTCCCACCAACAGTGCAAAAGTGTTCCTATTTCTCCACATCCTCTCCAGCATCTGTTGTCTCCAGATTTTTTAATGATCGCCATTCTAACCGGCGTGAGATGGTATCTCAGTGTAGTTTTGATTTGCATTTCTCTGATGACCAGTGATGATGAGCATTTTTTCATATGTTTGTTGGCCTCACGTATGTCTTCTTTTGAGAAGTGTCTGTTCATATCCTTTGCCCACTTTTGAATGGGCTTGTTAGTTTTTTCTTGTAAATCTGCTTTAGTTCTTTGTAAATTACGGATATCAGCCCTTTGTCAGATGGGAGAAGCAGAGTTTAAATGTTGTCAGTCCTCAAACACAGAGATGAAGGCTCAGGGAATTACCTTAGAAGAAAGATATTGCATTGTCGGACGACTGAAAGAAAACAAAACAAATTTTAAAAAAAATTGTGGAGGATGGGGTGAGGTTTCAGGTTAGCAGTATAAAATTCTCTTTTGTATTAAGGGCACTTTATTCATAGTCTGCTTATCATGTGAGAGGGCATCATACACCTTAAAAAGGAATAATTCCATTTCCTTCCTTTTCTAAGTGATTTA